TCGCCTGGGAGCCGAACGCGAGCCCGTCGATCTTCGGGCTACTCAAACTCGAGGGCCAGGGCCAGGGGCATCTGCGGCATCTCCGGACTCCACTGGGACTCTGAAAGCCAAGCGGCCGATCACAAAGATGTGCCTCGAGGCATCCCTTAGGCCGAGAGAGGCCAAAGAAGCTCTCAAGGATCCCAAGCGTAAACAGAGGCATGACTCGACCATCGCTTCTCCATTTCGGGACTAGCCCCCACAAGAGAAGATCAAACAATCGATGCAATCTGAGGGGCTTCCCGAAGCATGCATCCCGGAGCGCCTGGCGCATTCCGCATATAGCGTTTGATGCTCCATAGAAAAAGCCCGGCCTGGCCGTTGTGCTCTGTTGGATCCTGCGGTCGCGGAGGAGGCTGGAAATGTCCATGTGAGCAATCCTCGCAGGAGGTTTCCGAAAGATAGGCCCTGGAAAGGTCTTTCTAGGCAGGTCCGAGGCCCCCTCCAGTCTCAACGTTTCGCATCTCCACCAGTGCAGCCACACGACGAACGTTCTCCCTGCACCCTGACAACTGTGACTACACCCAAGTCAACCATACAAGCCACAAAGCCGCAATCCTCCTCTCTCGCTCTGACCAACCTGCGCATTGAAGCTTTGATGAGTCGATGTGAGGCTCCATGCTCAAGCTCGACAAGTACAGTTACCCATTTGCCCATCGAACAGAGGCCTTCTTGCCGTCACTCTTGTAGCGAAGTTTTGCAGAAAACCTAGCGAAGCCCTTGCAAAGCTTGAGCTGAGTGTCTTGGCACCGCCACTCTTGTGTCCGTTTTGGTTCAGTTGGCAACCCCCTCTACATGCGAAGCAGGATTCCTCAAGAGGCAACAGCATACTTGCAAGATCCCAATTCTCAAACTTAGTTCACTTTGCTCGAAGAGAACGCGCCTGGTCGCCAAAAAATGGAGCGACCCTGCCAGGAGAAGCCGCATCATGGCGCGGCGTCCTACTCCTCGACACTCTAGTAACTCTGGTACATGTGGTGTAAGTCACGACATCTACAGACCCAGGACCGATAACGAAGCGGGAAGTTTCTCAAGATTGCTCAAGAAAAACTCCGGAGTCGGGACCTACGCGCTGAAGTGAGATCACCTCTGGCATGGTGGGTATCGGGCACTCTGTTTCGGTGCATGTCAAGATAAGCGAGGCTAACGCTGCGGAGCACATCTGATAAACCATGCCTGGGTTAAGACTCGAAGACTTCCTCCTCCAACACTATACTAGCAAAAGAGCCCATCTTGCTGACAATCAAGCGTAACATCTCTTAGCAATCAGTGGATCAGAGCTGGACTGAAGAGTTCAAGATGGCTTAAGAGCCCAGACCAGGCCTCCAACTCGGACTAAGAGGCTCGGGTAACATGGCTTTCATGGCAGCGACCGCGACACGATGCAGTGATACCCACACCCGGCCTCAATGGCCTCTCTGACAGTTCCGATGACTTGCGCATGGTAGCCCTCCAGCAGAGCTTCCACCTGGAGGACACTGAGACACGGAGCGACCGTTCGACGCAAAAGTCTTGAAGCGGAGCACCAAAGCTGGCTGTGCTTTGACCATGCGAACTCTCGACCAGCTGAGAGCAACACATCCGTTCTGCTGAAAATCGCTTCGTCGTCTGCTAGCCTGGTCCGCACAGGGTTCTTCGCACATGAGGTGCAGCTTGAAAGAGTGTCACAAACCGGTGACGACTCCCACATTGTAGCTTCAAGCATCGACTTAGCCCTCGAGCTGTACACCGGTCAGCAGAGAGACATTCGTTTCGACAAAACATGGGAGCTCAAGACAAGCAGCATTCTTGATCTTCTTTGTGTAGATGCAAGTACATACGGCACGACAGTGAAAATGAATCCTAAGCTGAATTTGCACAAAATGCAAGTACACATACTGTCTGCAGTAGTACAGACATATATGTAAATATGTATATGCCGATGCATCTCCGTGCGTGCATGCGTCTAAGCCTATGCATGCATGCACCTGTGAACACATGAACGTACGGTGATTCTCTCACCCGGCCTGTCCGAGATGAACTCGGCCTTTTCGGACTCGCGGTCGGCAAGAAGCCGTTCGCGCTTTGCTGCGGGATCAGGGAAGATTGGAAAGGTTCTCTTGCTTTGATTTGTCGATTCTGGCTTGACGGCTGTGGATCAGTTGGAAAATCCAAAAGAACGAAAGCTGCTTCTGCAAGCAATGCCAATGCCAATGCCAGATGCACAATGCCCCTGCATCAACGACCATGCCAACAAGCCACTCGCCCCTCGCGTTCCCAAAGCTGGGATTCGTCCACACAAACCCGGCCTTTGAAGTAGTTGATGAATCTGAGAACCTGGGCCTTGTTCGAGTCGCTAAGCTCCTGGGAGGAAAAGACTGTTTGAGCCTGGTTTCCGAATCCAAACGAACCATGTCGCTCTGTTTAAGCTCTGCCTTTCCAAACATGAACCTTGCTCAAAAACATGGGGGCGGTAGGGTCATGCCCGTGCACATTCCAAAGCATCAACTCATCAACTCTGCCACCGAAACTGGGCCCGCTACTGCCATGCCGGCGGGTCCTGAAAAAGGTTGGGGACTGAAGTGAAGTCTCCCCCACAAGTGGCAGCAGTGCTATGGATGGAAAGAGACCGCAAAAACTGGCACTAGAAACTTCCACGACCTTATTACGTGCCAGATGGCCTTCCAGAGCGAACCGAGAAGATGAAAGCCCAATAAAACGTTGCAACAACTGGCAACAATGCAATTTGGAATGCTTCAAAATGATGAAAAGCAGCACTTTGTTCCGAACCATTCATTCGAGGGAACGTGAGGAAACACCTCCCGTTCCAGACGCCGGTCACCGAACTGTACTCCAGAACTGCAGCCAGAATTTGGCGAATGCAACCGCGTGAGCCTGTTTGGAGGCGTTGCCAAACGGCCCGTTCGAGCCAAAGGGGCTGCTCGGTGAGAACTGCACCCACACAATGGCGATGCAGCGCAAGACCCTCAGTTTAGGGTTGCACATGCAGCACTACGGTTGCTTGCTTCGGTTGGCATGCTGGTCAACTTGTGCTTTGTGACTGCTCCGATGACAGCTCGAAATGGAAAAGCTACGCATGAACGCATGGCTTGCTTGCAGACTCAGCTGAGGAGCACCTGCCGAGGCCCTCTTTACTCTTGCCTCGCCACAGTCGCAAGTGCAGTGTTGTGCACTGCGAGCCGGCACAGTTGGGGGGATCGCACTGCGCAGTTCACCGCGCGTTCAGACAGCACAGGCAAGGTCAGCGACGAATCCCGAAAACCATGCGGACATCATCACAGACTTTTTGTGAGCCTGCTATCGGTGCGACATCTTGGACCCTTCAGGCCTGTGGAGGGGAGACATCCGGAAAAGATTGTGGCATCCACCTCTTCGAACAAAAGGTTGCGCAGCTAGTCATCGAAGGAAGTGGTCTTCCCAGAGGTGCTGCTGTCAGTCATTCCAGTATGTTCCAGTATAAGCTGCCGTCAGGGCACAGGATCTGACTGCCGCACGCGGAGGAGTGAAAAGGAACTCAGCGGGCGTCCCAGAGTTCACTCCCTGTGTTCCTCCCTCTCGCATCATGCCGGATGGTCGTGCTAGTTCGACCGACTTTGCTCTTCGGGGCAATCTCGCCGAAGCCACGCTGATGCCTGCGGCCTACATCCAAGTACAGTAGCCGCATACGGCGTGTCAGCGACCCCCTGCGCTGGTGTAAACCCGGGCCATGTGACGGTGGAGCCAGATCCAAGGGTCCAGCCATTGTTTTCCCACTTTGCTTCGGGTAGGAAAGCAACCAGCCCAGGATTCACTGCCACGATGTCTGGGTCGCAGGCAGCAATGTTACCTCCGAAGACACGAGCAAGCAAGCGCAAGCAAGCAGCCTGAGAGCTGCAGTATGCTGCAGTGACAGTGAACCTTCAGCAGGCACGCTGTCGAAGATGCCGATCGCATTGAGGGCTTCGAGGGCTTGTGCAACATGGTGATTTCCTGAGTGGCCGTCGAGTCGAAGCTCGCCTGGCCTGTGAACTCTTTCTGACCGCTGCCCACGGCCTGCGGTAGAGAAGGGGAGCGTGGCTATGCCAGGAAAGAGCCGAAGGAAATGCCCGGCAATGCCCCGGGGGCCCAATGCCTTCCTGCCCTTTTCTTGACTCGATCCGAGGGTCCGCCTCTCCTCCTCGCACCAGGCGAGTCGAAGCAAACGTCGGCGGGCTTGGTGATTTTCGCGGACCACACCGTGCGAGGGCACCGGCAAGAAGGAGCACTGACTCCCGGCGCCGCGCTGAGGTGCGTGCTGGGGGTGCAGGGCCATGTTGGCTGTGAGCCTAGCTCCCGCAGCGTTCCGCTGGTGGCCGTGGATTGCGTCGGTGTAGCCGATGGCAAAAGTTGGACACGTCCATCCACCGGAGCTATCAAGTGGATGGATTTTCGTGTGCGAGGGCTGGCCAGGTCAGTGTAGAGCCGGAGCCTAGGGTCCGCCGTGGCAGCTGCTGGAGCCCATGTTGTGGTGTTTGGACGGTGATTTCCGGGTCGGTCCACTCCGTGATCGTGCAAGGCTTCCAGCTCCAGACCCATGCGCACCCACCTCACCCTCCGGCGCAGGGTGGAACATATCGATGGCCCCAAGCTGGCGCTCTCCTGTGGAACCGCGGGGTCCGCGCTCCCACATGCCTGGCATGAAACGTGCTAGCAGCACCGCACCATTGCACAACAAAAACATGCAGATTGAAACCTGCCAGCCTCTCCATGTCACTGCCCCTGGCCTCAGCCATCCTCAGCCGGCAGTGTAGACAGGGCCTGCGCAAGCTGTGAAGGACGGATGCCACATGCTAGATGGCTATGACCATGCGACCTCTACGGACGCTGTTGCACCATCACTGAGATCACAAGCGGAAGTTGGGCGAGTGAGTGCCCCAACTGCACGGAAGCGTGAAATGCTGCAGGCCCTACTCATGTGGTAGCCACCCTGCGCCGCCTGGCTCTCAGGAACCTTGCAGACGCTCGACGAGGCCTGCACTGGAACGTAAGGACTGCTACAAACACGATGGCATGAAAACCCGAGAGGAAGCGAAGTCGTTGAGGGTTCCCGGCCTGTAGCACCTGATGCACGCCGTTTGGCTTTGCGGCTAAGCCCCCACTTCTGCCTGAACTCGATCTCTGCTGGCGACTTTTTGCGCCGCTCGAACCTGCAACGTGCTGGCCACAAGACTGGACACCAAGAGCGCGTCAAAGGAACCTGATTCCCTCGTATGACAGCGGCGCCAGAGAGGGACGGCGAGCCTCAAATTGAAGGCAGCAAACGGTAACAGTGCTAACTCTTCTACAGAGAGCACGGGGTGGAATACAATGCAACGATGCAACCTTTCAACATACATGCATACGTTCGCCCAGCAACGAAAATCGTCGACATGTGCGTCCTTGGCTTTGTGATGCAATCCGACAGTGTCGAATACGGCTTACCTCCGAATGCCGCCGAAGGCCAATCTGGGTGATGCTGGGTGCCAGAGCAAGAATGATTTAGGTCGTCGCGACAATCTTGGTGGTAACCCGCTCCCTCACCCTGCCCTCAAATGTCTTGCCAAGCAGCTGCAAGTATCTGGCTTCCTCCTCCGTCAGCTTTGTTCCATCAGGATGGAACTCCTTGACCTTGATGTCGACGTCAATGGCGTAAGGATTCACGACTTGGCCGGTGCTCAGGTGCACGATGCGACTTGGGTATCCACCATCAGCCTCTTGCGAGCAAGATGTGACTTGTCCGACGAAACTTGAATTCCCAACAACACTTCTTGGCGAACCTGGAGGCCATTGGCTGTGGTCGCGATGACCTGGCCAAAAAAATCATTAGGCTTCACAGAAGCAGGGCGCACCCAAAGCCACCTAGCCTCACTGCGTGGCACTGTTGGCTGGGACCTTCAGAGGATCAACATAATGACAAAATCAGTCGGTGCTTGATTTCACTGTCTAGGCGTCCCACCAGCAACCAAACAGTGTGCTCAGGAAAGTACAACCTCACAGCAGGATTCACGCATCATCCTCGGCTTTGCACATTGCCTGAGGCAGGCACCGCACCACATGTCAGCATCAGCCATGAGTTCAACTACTAACGTTGATGGCCAGACGTCATACAGAATTCTTCTGCGTGTTTACGTGCCCCACCTGCAAGCCAAATGTCCAAGTGGGTCGGCAGTACCCATTTGTCCGATTCCGGGCCGGGCAGAGTACTGCTGCAAGTCGTGCGTTCACAACTCCAAGCCTGGCAGAGCAACAGGACAGAAGCAAGATAGGCGTCCCGTGTGGGTTTTTTTCGACAGGTTGAACGTATTATATGTTGGACGAGATGTGAGAGAATGAAAGGTTTGAAGATTACAAATTTGAGAGTTTCGACGTTGAAGGTGAGCGCGAGTTGGGAGTTTGAAAATTTGAAGAAGAATCCAGCTTGAAAGTTTGAAGCCGCGGCAACGCGAGATGCGCGACGGAGCAAGGCGAAGGACACCTGGAGACGCGTAGGGGTTCACAGAGCAGCCCCAGGCTCGAGTTCGAAAGTTTCAAAGCTTGGAGTTGAAAGATTGAAACTCAGGAAGATTGAAAGTTTGAAAGCTTCGACGATTGAAAGAAGATCGAAAAAGCTTCAAACCTTGGGGGGTTGACAGTTTGAAATTTTCAAGCTTCGAAAGCTTGAAAGTTTGAGAGACGCGGGGTTCGAATGTTTGAGATGTTTCGAAGTTTGAGAGTTTGGGAATTTGAAGAGTTTGAATATTGAACGCATTGACAATGCTCGTAACAAACCGTGCCCCCTGCCATGTCTTACAATTAAATAACAATACAGCAGGCATTACAATGAATAGAACAGTCACAAATACTTTAACCTTTAACACTATTCGTAATATAACAGCAGAAGCGAATGTAAATGTATGGGGTGAAATATTGTTTCAACACTCGTCGGGAATAAAAGAAATGTTAAACGGAAGTGATTACGATTTAACTTTAAGAAACGGAGACACAAACAAAGCAATTCATTTAATAGTTGGAACAATTGGAAACACGCCCGAAATATCAGTAAATGAAGCGAATGTTAATTTGTTGGGTCATTTAGAAACTTTAGATATTACACATTCAACAGATTCAACAAGTGAGCGTGTAAAAATAAAAACCGGGATGCAGACGGATGAATATTTAATTCCAGCAACGCCTTAATATTTTTGAAGCTTCAAGCACAAGTGTTTATGCAAATGGCACATTGGACAATAGCAGTGATGTAAGTCTGAAACAAGACATTGAAGAAGTCAATAGCGAAACGTTCGTTGATATGATTAAATACATAAAACCGAAAGAATTCAAAAAATGATTGTAAAGATGAAGAACATATCGGGTTTATTGCTGACGATATCCTAAGCTCAAAAATGCCGAAGCATTGGTATGACATCGTTCATGGTGTCTTCAAGAAATTATGAAAGAAACAACACAACTGAAAAAGACATTGCTAAACTGAAGGGCAAAAGGGAAGGGAAAAGCGGCGAGAGCAATATGAATATTCAACAATATTGCTCATTATAAAACATATCATTAACATCTACTTTCATTAAATTACTGGATAGAAAACTTTTTGGTTCTTCCGTGCTAAATCCAACCCATGTAAAGTCACTGATGCCGACCAATCTCGGGTCGTGGCACGTTCAGGGCTAGAGGCCATAGCGCAGCCAAATCAGCTGACGCGAACATGGTCGGGGTCATTGTAAACACATTCATGCAAAAGTTCGCCAATTCGAGTTGGTGCCTCCACCGACTCAGTTTGCACGTTGCAGCTTCCAGTTCACCGTTTCAAAATTCTTAGCTTCTTGCAGCTTGTTACTTCTTTTCGACAAAAGTGCAGTGTCGACAAGACATAAGCACACTGAAAACAAGTGGGTTCTGCAAACTTCCAACTTCGAACTGTGCCGATAGACTTCAAACAGAGTTTCTTGAATCCAGAACTCAAATGAGAAAAAAAGAATGAATGAAACAAAACGCAATCACAAAACAAAGGGAGAAGAAGCACAAAGTCGCTTTATGGTGGTTTTTGCAAGAAAACAGATGAGAAAAGAACAATTAAAAGCTTTTTTGGCGTGGCGGACCTCGTTGGCTGCAACTGCAGCGCTCGGTCCCAGTGAACTACGATCAACAACAAACTCACAAGAAACGTGGACCGTCATCCAGAGTCATCCAAGACAACGAGTGGAGCCGACCAAGGCTCCGGCAGCCGTTCTAGTTCCAAAGTCCAAAAGTCCAAAGACAAGTGGCGGTAGGTAGGCCGGTTGGCTGGGTGGGCAGACACAATATGACATCTCCCACCTCAAAGCTGGCGATTGTGAATCTGCTTCTCACCTGGTGTCACCATCAGTGCGGCACTAGCTGAGTCGTGCAAACCATTGCAACACTTCCGGATAAAGCTTGCAACCTCTCTCGTGGTGCGATCTGGCCAGAGTCCAGGTCTAGTCGTTTTTGGCGTGTGCGGGCCTCGGTGACAGCGGCTGCTGCGCTCGGTCCCAGTAATAATGCAAAGAAGTACAATAACGACTAAGAAACTGTACAAGACAGGCTGCGACATGCAGACTTAGCCGGCAGTTTTTTTTTTTTGGCGTGTGCGGGCCTCGGTGACAGCGGCTGCTGCGCTCGGTCCCAGTAATAATGCAAAGAAGTACAATAACGAGTAAGAAACTGTACAAACAAATGAACATATAAAACAGGGTGAGACAGGCTGCGACATGCAGACTTAGCCGGCAGACGTCGTTCAGCCATAAGATGTCCATCTCCTATCCACTGTGGCCACTCAAATGCCCCGCTTCCCAGATGTACTGGGTCGCGCAATGGCACACATATTGCCCTGCTACCTGTAAATGGTGGGTCGCGCAATGTCACACACGTCCCCAGACACCAACAAAAAAACACATTGCTGCTTGCACGGTGCCACCACCGGCAGCACTGCGCCGCAACATGTCATCAGGGTGGAGAAAAAGGCGATCCCATAGACGAGTATGCAACCCAAGCCCAGCTTCCCACCAGAGTTTTCCCGAAAGCGTCGCGAAGGGTTCTTCCGTGCGGAGCCGGGTAGACAAGTACATAGATGACAAACATAGAATCGAGCACATGACCTTATGACTTGACACTTGATACATAGATGACAAACATAGAATCGAGCACATGACCTTATGACTTGACACTTGAGTCTACGACTCTATGACCCTATGACTCTATGACTCTAAGACCGAACTTGACTACTCTTGACTACTCTATGACTCTATGACTCTATGAACTTGAGGACTCTGTGACTTACTCACTTGACTACTCTATGACTCTGTGACTTACTCTGTGACTTACTCTGTGACTTACTCTGTGATTTACTCTTGACTTACTCTGTGACTTACTCTGTGACTTACTCTCTGACTTACTCTCTGACTTATAACTTACTCTGTGACTTTCTCTCTGACTTACTCTCTGACTTACTCTCTACATCTCGGTATCTAATCTCTCTTCTAAAGCCAGGGGTGGCACCGTCGTCGTCCATCGGGAATGCAACCCTTCACAGGGATTGGCCACCTCGAGCGCCCAAACGCTAGGTAAAGTTACACATTTTAGGGATTCGCCTCCTCGGGCGTTCAAACGCGAGGTAAAGTTACACATTTTAGGCGCGCGGGTGAACCCTTCACATGGATTCGCCTCCTCGGGCGTTCAAACGCGATGTAAAGTGACACATTTTAGGCGCCCGGCGCAACCCTTCACAGGGATTGGAACTCTCGGGCGTTCAAACGCGAGGTAAAGTTACACATTTTCGGCGCGCGGGTGAACCCTTCACAGGGATTCGCCTCCTCGGGCGTTCAAACGCGAGGTAAAGTTACACATTTTTCGGGCGCCGTGAACCCTTCACAAGGATTCGCTTCCTCGGGCGTTCAAACGCGAGGTAAAGTTACACATTTTAGGCGCGCCGCGCAACCCCTCACAGGGTTTGGGCGCAGCTCAACTGCATTTTGCAACCCTTCACAGGGATTGGCATTTTGCAACCGTTCACAGGGATTGGCATGGTCGAATGCACGAACGCTAGGTAAAGTTGCATTTTTTGATGTGCATTGAAATGAATTTTGCAACCCTTCACAGGGATTGGCGTGGTCGAGTGTTCGAACGCGAGGTAAAGTTGCAATTTTTTATGTGCATTGAGATGAATTTTGCAACCCTTCACAGGGATTGGCGTGGTCGAGTGTTCGAACGCGAGGCAAAGTTGCATTTTTTGATGTGCATTGAGATGAATTTTGCAACCCTTCACAGGGATTGGCGTGGTCGAGTGTTCGAACGCGAGGTAAAGTTGCAATTTTTGATGTGCATTGAGATGAATTTTGCAACCCTTCACACAGATTGGCGTTGTCGAGTGTTCGAACGCGAGGTAAAGTTATTACTTTTGATGTGCATTGAAGTGAAACTTGCAACCCTTCACAGAGATTGGCCTTGTCGAGTGTTCGAACTAGTACTAGTACTACTACTACCACTACCACTACTACAACTATTATTACTACTACTACTGCTACTACTACCACTACTACAAAAGAATACTACTACTACTACTACTACTGCTATTACTACTAGTACTACTACTACTACTACTACTACTACTACCACTACTACTACCACTACTACTGCTACTGCTACTACTGCTACTACTACTACTACTACTACTAGTACCACAACAACAACTACAACTACAACTACTACTACTACTACTACTACTGCTGCGACATAAAGTGACCATGCATAGAGTCATAGAGTCACGTTGAAACCACAGCAGCAGGGATGTCTATATAGTGAGGTTCCGGAGCTAGGAAAGGAAGACTTCTGCGTCATGTTGGACTATACCCTAAACCCGCTAAACCTGAACAGTAGTGTTCATAGAGTGAACTACATCAAGTCAAGTGCGTGGTACATAGATGACTCCATGACTCTATGACTTTTTCTCACTCTGACGCTATAACAAAGAAGATAGAACAAAGGTGAGACATGCCGCGACTAGCAGACTTAGCCGGCAGACGTCGTTCGGCAAGACATGCTCAAAAACTAGCCTACACCGCTCAGATGCTCCGCTTTCCAGCCGTACTGAGTTGCGCAATGGCACATAAATTGTTCCAGCATCCTTATGGGGCGGGCAAAATAACAAACCTTTCCGTCCATTGTGCACTTGGTCCAGCTTCCCGAAGAGGGTCTCGCAAAGGCAAGACGGAGAGGCACTTGGCATAGAGAAACGCATCCAAGCATCCACACAAGCGAAAAGCGTGCCGCAGTGCAATTGACATGAGAACGTTAATTCGAGTCCAGCTTCCTAGAATCTGACCTTGCAAGGGCAATACACAAGCCAGACAGCACTAGACAGGCCATGTTGGACAATCAGCAGCGTGCAGGGCGCCATGCGTTCCAAGCTTCCCATGTGGGTCGCAGAGCTGCTCAGCAAATGAGTCCATGTCCAGCTTTCCACTACAGCCAGCATCGAGCATTTGGCAAAGCAAGAACGTTTAAACAGGTCGAATCCCCTTCCGACTTCAGACAAACTGGTCTGTGGCAGACTGCTAGAGCTACCTTGTTGGCATAGCTCTGAAAAAGGGAGGAGTGCAACTCAACGAGACCGGCAAGCCACCTACTCGACTACTACCAAGCCCTCTAACGGAAACTGCCGATCATGGGAGAACTAATACAACGCGCACTGGTCGGAAAAGATGGCCACAATCTCAGAACATACGCACTGCGTGGCCTCCACTCGGTGCAAGAAGTGTCGCAACAGGACCTTCTGCAGCAAAAAAATTGTTCAACGATCTTCCAGCCCTAGAGGCATTCAGCAAGAGTGGAGAAAGCTCACAGCATGTCCGTATCCTTTTGATTTCTTAGAACTCCGGTGCGCAGCAGCTTGGAAATCGATCTGAGATACTGACTGCCCTCACCCGATGTCGCACTCTGGCAGCCGAAGAGACATGCTGAGTCGCACAGGAGATTCGAAGCAGCCAAACTGGCAGACTGGATCTGTCGAGTCTCGTACATGGCTCTACTGCGAGTGCGAAGCTGTGAAAAACAGAGCGCGCAGCACTCGGTCTTTTTCTTGAGCCAAAGCGGAGTCGCGTCGGGCTCTGACTGACAGTGAAACACCTTGCAGCTGTCTGTCTCCAAGCAAAACACTTCAAGCACTAACGAAACGAGACGAAACGAACGTGCAGTCACTTCCTAACTCAAAAGCACTCCTCACAGCTTCAGGCATGCCGAAAACATCAGGACATCCAAGGTCAAATGGGATTTTCTCGTCGTGGGCGAACAAGTCGCTGCCAGGCCATCGGCCGGCGGTTTGGGGTGAAACAGGCGGTTTGGTTTTGCCCACCTTTGGTGGGTTCTACTCACCAGTGGCTTCCACTGGGCTGGAAGAGCTTTGTCAGTAGCACCAGCCTTCTGAGCTACACCAGCAGGGCTGGTTACTACTGACACCAGTTCTGTAGGTTGTGGTGACTGGTTTGGCCCTACAGCTGGAGCTCTTTGGCCCAGACACCAGCTGGGCTGGTTGCTACTAGCACCAGTTACCTGGTTTTCACCAGCAGGGCTGGTACTGGTAGCACCAGTTTGGAGTTGTCCAGGCCTTAGCCTGAGCTCTCAGTCCCTACGGAAAGGGGAGGATAAGCCACGTTTTTCCCCGTACCAAGTCGTGCCGGTACTCGTCCGGGAGGAGGGGTTGGCCCAACAGTCCCTCCGGCGTTACCGCCAAAACGCTGGTATCCACCAGCACTTTCATGAGGGACTCGAAGTCCGTCTTAGAGAGCTTGGTCTTCGCCAGCTCTTTGAGAGCAACCGTGGTGCTCTCAAGCGACGTGTGATGCTTTATCACCGTCAGCTTGAGCTCAGCCCTCAAGGGATCATCGATGGATTTCCAGAACCCCGTGAGGCGCTGGACGTTTGGCCATTGGGGTCGGGTTCCCTCAGGGTAAGGGACCCACCCCAACACGTCCAGCATCACCATTTCCGGTACAGCCTGTCCTGGTTGTGTGAATCTCAGGCCCATATTGGCCTTCCCTATGTCCTTCACCAGGAGGATCTTCGCCAGGAGGGCCACCGTGAAACAGGCCTGGAAGGCTTGAAAGGTGCTGAGCTGTGCCGGTATTGGGTGCACCGCCTCCATCTCGATGAGGGTGACCCATTTGGGCTCCTGGTCTGCACCAGGTCCTCTTTCGCAGAGCTGGTGAACACCAGCTTGCTTGGCGAGGCCTGGAGTCATGGCCCCCGTGACCTTGCACACCAAGACTTCTTGGTCTTGGGGGTATACCGACAGTTTCCATACTACCCCCGGTTTGTGGGGTGTGAACGTGACCACTCGTGAGCCACCAAGGCCAACTATCACCAGGCTGAGCCTGGTTACCCCTGAGACCTCTGTGCTGAAGTATTCCACTTCGCATGCCTCAGCATAGCGGCTGTGGCATGGTTTCACGTTCTTTTTCATGGAGATGAAGAATTTCATCGTTTGGGCATAGTCCGGGTCTGGACCGGTAATGCCTGGCCCCGGGGGAAGCTCACGGTTCCTCTTTGGCTCTTCTGAGCTGCTCCCTTCCGGGGTACCCACCGGAGCTGGTGGGCTTGCCTTCTCAAGGCTTTCAGAGTCTTTCTTCTCCTCCTTTACTGCTGCCTGGTTCACACCAGGTTCGAGGGCCGCACTTTCAGGCTCCGGCTCTTCTTGCTTTGCTGCCTGGTTTTCACCAGGTACGGTGGGAGGGGCCTCTTGCGGGGACCACGCCGGCTCTGTTGGGCTTAGTGCCTCCCCGGCCATCCTGTCCACCTGCCCTTCTGGGCTCTCCCTCATCCTGGTCTTCACCAGGTTCGCTCTTTTGCTCCTCCTTGTGCTTGGGCGAGCTGGAGGATGAAGAGGAGCTGGGTTCACCAGCTGGGCCGCCCGGCGCGGTGGTGCGCCCTTGACGTGCCCTGGCCCCTTCCCTGATTGTCTCAAGGAAGCTCGCCGTGGGCTCTGTACTGTAGTACGAGTACTCAGCGGCTTCCGCCGGGCCCGGCGTAGCCGCTTCCATTGCTGCCGCCGGGCGCTGGCCGGTGGCGGCTTCGGCGGCACCTGGGTTTTGCCCTCTCCTTTTGCTGGCCCTTTTTCTTTGCCTTTGTAAAACGCTTTACGGGTACGTTCCGGACCCTTTCACTTCACACAGATATTCGCACTTCACTTTTCCTCGGGCGCACGGCTGTCTTGGGTGCGTCCCTTGAGCCTAAACACCACAGTGGAACATTTGTTCCATACTATACAAAATCATGTGGCAAATAGCTCATCTACAGGATTATAGGGCAACACACTCCTAAGCGAAATGTTTGTTACCCCCTCTTCGTGCATCCTCTTTTGCCTTTTCTCTCCTAGAGGTGCAACGAACCCAAAACAGTCGCACTTTCCTCCTTTTGAAACACTCGTTGTGCACTCGCTTTTTGTCGTAGTGTGAGACGAGTGAAACAGAGCTACTCCTACTGGCCGCTCTCAAACTCGTTCACCTCTTTGGCCTTTCAGCCTCAAAAGAACTCGTGGTGGCCCAAAGCCACAAACTCTTCAAACTCTTTAAACTCTCCTCGTGAAGAAACTCTTCGGCTTCTCGTGGTGCAGTTGTCGTACAACTTTCAGAAAACTCTTTCCTCGTTTGGGAACGAAGTTCCCCCTCTGGGCTTTTCAGCCTTCAGATTCCCTTTTTCTTTATAGACCTCCGGTTTGGTCTTTCTTTCTTCTCTTCTCTCCTTTTCTCCTTTAGCTGTTCTTTTGCTGGGCTTTCTTTCCTTTGCCCTTCTCCGCATTGTCTGTGCGGTACTTTTTCTTGTTTGTCTCCAACCTGTTCGCGTATGCTCTTCGAATTATCAATTCGTTCTTCTTGTACCAGGATTGGAACTGTTCCTTACTCATCTCTTCCCTTTGCATCTTTGGGGCATACTGCCCTGAGGCAGTATAATTGTAATCGGCATCCCAACACGTTTCGGAACCATGTCCGAAACGCGAACATACCGCGCAAACCATTGCCTGGCTTTGCGCATCAGGATCTTCGTTGATCCGGCTTTCCTCTTTAAGCACCTGGAGCTCATCTTCGAGGGCCTTGTTGTTCTTTCCAAGCTCCTTGATAGTCTCGCGCATTTTCTTGCGCTCCTCTTTCATCTTCTCTGCATCCTCATTCGGTGGGCCTTGCGTCGACCCAGCACTGCTTTTGCGCTTTTTCAGCTTTCTCACTTCTTCATTCAATTCTCCAATCTCTTTGTCCTTTGCCTCTTTTAGCTCCTTGATCTCTTTATCCTTTTTGTCTATCTCCTCTTTGATCTCCTTTTCTTTCGTTTCTTGGAGCTCTTTAATCTCTTTGATCCTCTTGCTCTCCATCTCTTTCAGCTTTTGCTCAGCTTCGCCCTGAAGCAGTCCACCCGCTGGAACCTGCAGTTCCTTCCTTTTTGCCTTCAACTCCTCCAGTGCAGTATGGAGTTTCGGCCTCAATTGGTCCATCTCTTTTTGCAGGGCGGACTCTGCGTCCATTATCAATGTAGCCTCATTTTCCTGTTCCTCCTCTTCGGCTCTCAGCTTGTCCAGTTGTTTCTCTATGGACTCTTTGGCAACGAACGCTTCGTCCGCTACCCGCTTCAGCTCTTCCTTTACCTCTATCTCTTTTGCAATCAACCTGTCTCTTTCTTCCTCCTTGATCTTCTTCTGCTTTTGCTTGTAAGTATACAAGTCACTATAAATCGTGAATTTCTTTCTCTTTTCGTCCACTTTCTCCTGCAGAACTCGCATCTGCCCAAGCAGGTCCTGCACTTTCTTCTCCTCTTCCAGAACTGACTTCTTTGCCATCTTGTCCATGATCTCTTTGTATTCATCATCACTTGACTCAGACTCTTTCTTTCTCTTTTCGCCTCTCTTTTTCTCTTCCTCTTTTTCGGAGCTCTGCTCTTCCTCTTCTTTCTCCGAACTCACTTTCTCCTCGCTTTCGGAGGCTTCTTGCTCCTCCTCTTCTTTCTCTTTCTTTTTCTCTTTTTCTTCTTTTGTTTCCTTCGCCTTCTCTGCGGCTTCGTTTGCCCTTTCTTTCTGGCCCCTTCGCCTCTCGGAAGCATCCAAGGCTTTCTGCCTCAGTTCGCTCACTCTATCTTCCATAACCTGTGCCTGGCTTCCTTCGGCACTCCCTTTGCTTCCCTGTGCCTCTCCAGCCAATTCCTCGGCTGTTTTCTTGAACTCTTCAGGCACTTTAACCTCCGTCTTTGCAGCTTCAGACGGGGCCGCCTCTTTAGGCTCATACTTTTGGTTGAGGCGTTGCACTTCGGGCCATAGGGCATCCAGGGTTAATCTCCTCTCTCGCTCCTTTTTGAGCTCTCTTTCGCAGAGGGTTACGGACTCTATGCTGCGGCATTCGTCACTGATCATTGTCTTGAGGGCCGCGTCGTCGGCCATCCTTTTCACTTCTTCTTTTTCTTCTACTTCTTTTCTCCTCACTTCTTTTCTTTTCACTTCCTCTCTTTTCACTTTCTTCCTTGAGTCAAAAACGGCAGCGGCGGAACAAAGCATGCATTCAACACTTCCAACCAGACTCTTCCACAAGCTACCGTTGCAAGCCATGATAACAATCAGTGTCATCATCATCACCATCATCACCAAACCAAGGTTTCCACCTTCACTGCTTCTACTGCTTTGCTCTCTTAGTCCATCACACTGCTGAACCATCATCATCATCACAAGTCTTCTCAGATACTTCGTAGGGATCTTGAAGTCACTTGCTATCCTGACCTCTTCACTCTCTTCCCCAGTTTTCACACCGATTCTCTCCAAACACTTCACAACAGCGTTCCTCGACAAAGCCTTTGTTCCTACATCTGCAGGGTTCTCCTTTCCAGCTATCGCTTTCACTTGAAGACCTACAGAAGTAAGTCTTTGAACCCAAAGCAGTCCTGCATCAATGTGCCTTGTTCTTCCTAGGCCTTTCTTCATGAGAATAGACCTAGCACTGCTAGAATCCATCCTAATCACCATCTCCGGCCTAATCCCTAGAACTCTGTGCAGCAGGTTCTGTAGAAAAACTCCTTCACTCAAACCTCCAACAGCTGCCACCAGTTCGCTTTCGCAGCTGCTCAAAGCCGTCGCTTTTTGCTTTCTCGCGTGAAAGTAAACGATGTTACTGTTCACGAAAATCAACACGCAGCTCGTTGACTGCCTATTCTCACGATCGGTCGCCCAGTCGGCGTCGGTCACTACCTCGATCAAACTCTTTGCCGTAAAAACATCTTTGTAGGCATTCTCAGTTCTCTTATCACTTGGATCTAGAAAACTCTTTCCAGGATATGCCTCTTTGTGTTCTATCACGTAGTGGGCTGTCGCTTTTACATACTTTGCCACGTGCCTAAGCACTGCTAAGTCTCCTCGCGTTGGCGCTGCCAACTTCCCAGACAACCACTTCGTAGCGAATCCCAAATCAGGTCTCTCCGGTGTCATATACAGTAGGATTCCTACACAGGATCTATACAGATGATGTTCATCTGCATCCAAGGGCGTATCGTCCTTCAACGATCTTCCGTAATCCATTGGAAACGGCAACTTCTTCGGCAGGGCTTTTCCCAAACCTAAAATCTCTTCCAACTTCTCAAGATACTTGCCGTCCATCCTGATCTCTATTCCTTCTTTCGTTCCTAAGAACGTCCTCTTCAAGAAAGTACACTTTCCTTCTCCAACCTTCACTGGTCCTTCCAGCTTTATCTTCAACTTGTGCTTCAACAGCAGATCAACCACCGCTTGGTTCTCCTTTGGTTTTCCAAACACTTCCAAATCATCCACATGTGTACTCATCAGCGTTCCACCTTCTCCTGGGTTCTCTGAAAACTTGTAGAAGAAACTTGGTAACCCCACATCGGAAACCATCTTCTCTTTCTCCAGGATTTCTCGTAAGTGCTCAAACCAATCACTGCTTCCTGTTCGTTGTCCCGGCAGGGTGTACTGCAGCTGGTACCACTTTCCTCCTAAACTCACAACCGTGTACTCCTTCTGTGGCACCTGAAGGTACGCGTCCGAAATGTCTATCGAGATCATCTCGTAGTCTCTTGAACTCGCACACAAAGCTGATAACAGCTTGATGCTCGAACCAATACTCGTTGGTGAGTATAGCGCTGAGAGATCGTAGTCCGTCAGCCACTTGTACTCCCGCGCCACTAGGCGGGCTCTCCTCTTCCATTGGAGGTCCCTATGCCTCCAATCCAACACGTACTTTGTACTGAGTCTCTTTGGTTCTTCTCCATTCGGTCCTTTCTTCAACTCTCCATTCTCATCCAGTTCCACTTCTTTGAGAACTTTCATCTCCAATAGTCTCTCGATTTCTGTTCTCTCTGCTTTCAGGTCCACCTTTTCCAAATCTTCATCTTCCAACTTTGGTGGCCCATCATCATACTCGTGAGACCAAGTAACCGTTAGGTCCTCTTCTGTCTCACACACCTTCTCGTTCCACTTGCTCTGGAATTCTCGACTTTCCTCTAGAAACAACTGTGTCTCGTCGAGGTCAACATACTCATCTCCATGCTCTTCGGGATCCTCGCTCTTGGCGAATCTCCGAATGTGGTATTCCACTCGTGCCGCGCTTCCTCGTGCTTCGTCTCCAAGTCTCGGCACCTTTTCAACTCTTTCTTCTACCTCTCCAGTTCCTTCGTCTACTCTTGGTTCTTTCTTTGGTGACCCTTCTCCTTCTTCTTCTGCATTCCTCTTTGCAACTTCTCTTTGAAAATCTTCCAACGTCATTTCATCGGGCACCAATTCATCTTCCGCTTTTCTCTTTGTTCTCACCTCTCCTGGATCATCGTCATCGTCATCGCTCTCGTCGTCCATTGCTTCTGGCGTTGCTCCAGATAGCGACGAACTCTTGCTAGAAGAACTTGAGCTTCCTTGGCGGTCGCTCGGCGGCGAAGGCTCGCTTCTCTTTTCTTCTTCTACTCTTTTGTCAGCTTCCACCGCCAATCTTGGCAGTCCTGGCCCATCATCAATAGGCACAATTCTCTTCTTCTTAAACCTCAAAGCCTTCAGCTGATGATCCCATGGAGCTCCAACCGAAAGTTGCAAAAGCTCCGGCTGATATGCCTCAGCACATCTTCTCATTGTCCTCGCTTTGATCACTCCTCTACCTGTGCCAATCAAGTTCAGATTGCTCGCGTAGTCCTTTCCAAGAAAGACTCCTTTCTCCCAAGGTTCTCCTTTCTCCTTGGTCTTTGGCACTGCTTTTCCAAACACTGCTGACCCGAACGGGGCCAGCTTCCCTTTGTACGTTCGGTCCACTGTCGCTTCAAACGCAGTTCTGCCATCTCTTCCAACATGAAACCTGTTGTGCAGCCATGCTGCATGTCTGTACGCCCAGCTATAAAGCGGGACATCAGATCCGATGGCCGTTCCACTTCGTTGCTCAACCGTCGCCAACAACGTCTTTGCAAGGTTCCTCACAGTTTGGATATACCTTTCCACAGGCAACCCTTGATGCTCATCAGGCGTGGCATCTTGCAACTCCGTCTTCAAACCTTGTCTTGTTCTTGCCACTTGAACTCCTCTCCTGATGGCAATCATCACTGGCTCGGTATCCGTTCTAATCACCACTTCAGCGTAACCCAAAAGGGCTAACACTCTTACCACTTCACTCACTGCGTGGTTTATCACCGCATCTCCTCCTTTCGTTGGCACCGCAATAGCTATCAGGAACTTCGTGTCGTTGTCAACACCCGCAAGCTGAATAGCAAGCGGATCTCTCTCCTTTTCATCTCCTTGTGTTCCTGTGAACATAAAGTCCAAGCTAAACACGGGCCGTTGCGCTTTCTCTTTCGTCTCTTCAAAGTTGTCTTCTCTGCTCTTTGCTGCCTGGCATGCTTCACACCAGGGCGCTCTCGGCAAATGCGTCAACTCATGCGCTTCAATCTCTTCCGGGCTCGGCAAAGCAGGCAGAGCCTCTGGAATTGGTTCTCTCTCAAACTCCTTTCTGATATCCTCAGAGATTTGGGCTTGCGCTTTCACTTTGCTCAGCGCAACCTCTTTCTTCAATCTTTTCCACAAAATCTCTTTCGATCCATTCTTCGAGATATGCAGATACTTGCACGCCGCTTTCATCTCCTTCAACTCACTCTGGCGTGTCAACTTCATTGGTCCAATCACCATCACTTCTTCCTCATCTTCACCAATCACTGGAACTCCTCTCTTCGGTTCCTCTTTTTCACTTTCCTTTTTGTCTTTTGAACTTGAGGAGGTACCTGTGACCTCCATTGGCACTCCTTCTTGTGCCAGTTCTCTTTCAAGCTCTTCCAAATTCGTGAGCAACCCATAGTCGCTCGGTTCCTTCAATCCTTTTTCCAACAAGGTGACCATCACCTCAAACCTTGCTTGAGGACTTGCCCCAAGTTGCACTCTTTCGCGATCCTTCCAGATCTCCGTACACTCAAAGAAATCCATACTCTTCCAATCCACTTCATTCAACACTCTTTCTCCACTTCTTTTCATCTTTCCTAGCAAGGTTGTCCTATAAGGAAAATAATCGCCTTCATCTCCTGCTCCCTCATAGAGTCTATTAGGGAACTGACCCGTTGGGTCAAACGTCTTCCCCATAAACCAATCAAACCTTGCAGGCGTGCCGTCATTTAGCACAAACCAACCATCTTCATCTTCTTTGCTCTTCAACTCATTCTTCAGTTCTCGCTCCAGCCTCACAGGCTGTACCGTCATCTCTTCTCCTTCAAGTCTCCGTATACACATCCTCGCCATTGAGGAATTCCTTTTGAAGTATATCGGTATCCGAACACTTCCTTTCTTCAACCACAATCTTCCCTCTTCATTCACCGTACCCCAACCTAGCTTCCACATCTTTCCTACCGCAAACAAAGGTTGGGTGACATTGCCGCAAACAGCACTGTCAGTGATCTTCAACTTCTTTCCAGACTCCTTCGTGAAAACAAACGTCACATTCTGCCTCACAGGCAACGTTGGGATCACTTTCCCTTGCGCATCTTTCAGATGGTACTCAAAGTTCGAAGTTTCTCCGACTTCTTCTGCCCAATCCATAGGCAACACATGGCAGTCAGCTCCACTGTCGAGCACTACCTCACATGCATCCACTTCTCTTGCTGCTCTTCTCACATCATCTCCTTCAGAAACCATTCTCACACTTCTTTCAACTTCTGTTTCCAAGAACCACCATCCTTGGTACCACTCCATCAAACCATCAGTCGGTTCTTCCTCGATCTCTTCCACTTCATCGCTCGAAGAGATATCAAACTCCTCAACTCTTCTCAGCTCTCCTTGAACCAAACCTTCAAACTCCTGACACAATCTCACAAAGTTGAGCTCTTCATCCTCATCGTTCCACTCTTGTGTCATCTCTACTCTTCTTGCTTGGCGCGCTGCTTCAGCTGTGATCTGCCTCACTTGACCAGTCTCATTCTTCGCAGGAGGGGCATTGCTAGAGGAACTCTTCTCGTGATCTCCTTGATGGGTTCCTTCCTCTTCTACCTGTCTCACTTTGCCTTTACCTCCTTTTCCTTTTCCTTGATTCTGCCAGCAATCAGCTGCTTTGTGTCCTGTCTTTCCGCATATGTGGCACTCTCCTATGAACTTTCCTTTCCCGTAGCCACCAGCGTCCACTGCTCGTGCATTTCTATAACCACCTTTTCCTTTTCCTTTGTTGTCGTATCCTTTTCCTTTTCCTTTTCCTTTGTTGTCGTATCCTTTTCCTTTTCCTTTTCCTTTGTTGTTGTACCCTTTTCCTCCTTTTCCTTTGTTGTCGTGACCTTTTCCTTTTCCTTTGTCTTTTCCTTTTCCTTTCACTCGATCAATATCCATTGGTTGTGGCCCATTGTAGGGTGTACTCTTCGTTGCGCTTTCCATGTTGAAAGACTGCAAAATGTTCTCCGCATTCCACGATTGGGTACTTCTTTCATACTCAAGCAACTTCTTCCTGATGTCTGCGTACTTCGTCGTAGGGGTCAATCCTATCAGGATATGCTTCCTCAACTCATTTGGCAAACCTTTGAGTACTGTTCCGATTTTCAAATTCTCATCGTAGGGTTTTCCTTCGGACAGTTTTTCGTATTCTGCCACCAGTTTTTCGTAGGTAAGCAGATAGTCTAAGATAGAAGTCCCTTTCGTCATCTGGGGAAAGCTCACTAGAGCTTGAGCCATTGCCAGCCCTCTTGTTCGGCTTGACGGCTCCAACTCTTCAAACAGTCTCCTCCAGACAGAATATCCATCTGGACTTCCTTCTGACTTCAATAACTTCAATGGCCTGTTCCTAAGATACGAGGCCAAAATCGCATACAGCTTTGTACTTCGCTCTCTTTCACCAACTGTATAATCTGCTGGATTTGGTGGTGCCAGCTCCACTTTCTTCAACTCTTCTGCATAAGTGGGATCAATGAATCCCACAAACACTTTGAAACTGAAACTCCAATCTGGCCACTGTGAAACTTCCTCCTCCAAATTCTTTGGAGCGAACACATCCGGACTCTTCACCAGCTTAGCTGCAGAGTCGTAACTTCTGGTACTTCCTGTACCTGCAGCACTTGCCAAAGCTTGCGCTGCTGCCGACAGGTTCCCTATCAGGGCCTGAAGGGATCCTCCTGCAACTCCATCTGGTGCAGGCATCGCCATTGGCGTATCACTTGGTGTATCTCCTCCTTGACCACCGTGACCAGGGGACACAGGCAAATCCGCGTCTCCAGCTGGACTTGGCGTGGCCATTCAACTTTCCTTTCTTTCACTTTCCGTGACACTGGGGCCCAAGGCTCGTTTCTCCTTGTATTGGGCTCTTCTTCAGCCGAAGGTCCTGGCCTTCAGCTCCGCTACCATAAAACGCTTTACGGGTACGTTCCGGACCCTTTCACTTCACACAGATATTCGCACTTCACTTTTCCTCGGGCGCACGGCTGTCTTGGGTGCGTCCCTTGAGCCTAAACACCACAGTGGAACATTTGTTCCATACTATACAAAATCATGTGGCAAACAGCTCATCTACAGGATTATAGGGCAACACACTCCTAAGCGAAATGTTTGTTACTTTGCCTGGGCCTTTCTCTTTCCCTTTTTCTTTTCCTTTGGCTTTTCCTTTGTCTTTGCCCTTGGAGGGCAGGTTCACACCTGGTGGGGGTGGCACCCCTCTGGTCACCTTTCCTGCCATCCTTTCCTTTTTCCCAGGCCTGTTGCGGTTGTACCACTTCTTGTAGTCCGACAAGGGTTGCCTTGCCGGGGTGTTACCCGGGCGCTCCCAGGAGCTAGAAGGTCTCTCCCAGGAGCTGCTGGGCGCTTCCGCTGGTTGGCCACCAGCTTCTTCAGTTTCCTGGTTTCCACCAGCTTGCTCATCCTGGTTTTCACCAGGGTGGGTGTCCTGGGTGTCCCCAGGCTTTGGTTCCTGGCCCTCACCAGGATCTTCTTTTCCCATGGCGATTTCCCGCTGGACGATTCCCCAGCTCTGAGCCAAACTTGCATTCAGAATTTCAATTTGGTCTGTTTGGGGTCCTCACTCTGGGGCCTGGTTAGACCAGATTTTGGCTTGGGCTTTGCTTTGGGGCCATACACCAGAGTTTGTCGGGACTGAGCCTGGAAAGGTTGTTCAGGTGGGCCTGAAAGCTTAGGTTGGGAGAGGGCCTTTCCTGGGGCTTGCTTGTTGGCCCGCTTTACAGGCTGGCTAACTGCACGGGTTTGGGCACCCTTGGTTTTTGGGTTCTCTTTGCTACTGGAGGCTTGGTTAACAGAAGCACCAACACCAGTAGCATCACCAGTCACATCACCATCACCCTGTACAGTCCTAGGCACAACCCTGCTTCCCCAACAGCTGTCTTGCTTTTTCCTGTCCCCTGCTTCTGGCTGGCTGTCGGGTTTAGAAGCTGGCTGGGCCTTGAAAAACCCCGATTTTTGCGGAGCAAACTTCTGAATGCACTGCAAGATTTCCGGGTCCTTGCCCGTGTACACCTGCTTGCACTGTTTGCCCAAGCTCTGGTAGAGCTCTTGGCTTCCAATCCATTGCCTGGCACCACACCTGCAGCAGAGCCACCTTCGCCCTGCATTAACCATCTTGTGCGACGGGTGCTCTCCCATGTGTGGAGCCGAGGGCTCCATCCACTTGCACGTGTGGCCTATTTTCTTTGCAAAGATAGCCTTTGCTTCAACTTGTTCAATGAAATGCCCACAGCGGGTGCAGTTGACACACAGGTTGTCCCTACTGCGGTGGCCTTCACGCCACTCGTGCCCCAAGTCTGGTCCTTGTCCAGCTAGAAGCGCTTCCAGCTGCTGCCTTTTGTTGGGGCCTTCACACTGGCTTGGTTGAACTGGTTTGTCACCAGTTGTCTTTTTCCTCCCTTTGGTTTGGAAGTTGGTCTTGATTTTGGGCCCTGGCTTTTTCTTGGAGGGTGGCTTTTCCTGGTTTTCGTCACCAGGTTTTTCAGGGAAGACTACCTGGGGTCCTTCACCAGTACCATACTGGAAAAGTGCCTGCACTCTGTTTGCCAAGAAAGTATTGATGCGGCTCACGACCTCATCTTTGATGAGCACTTGTTGCTCCCAGTTGAGGTCTCTGCGCTGGTTTGCTGCTTCTTGCACCAGCTTGTCGACCGCCTGGTTTGCCTCCCAGCGCCACCAGTTTTCTTGCCCAAATTTGGCCTGGAAAGCCTCCTGGGAGAGGTGGGAATTTACCCATGTGAGGCTCAAGCGGTCCTTTTGATGGCGCAACTCCTGGAAAATGTCCTCAGATTTCCAGCCTGGTGCCCTGCGTAGGCACTTTGGCACCCCTTGGCAATCCAAAGTGATATCTATCAGCCCTTTTGTCTTCTGGGCGAGAAACAGAAGGGCAGAGGATTCTGCCCTAAAGACTGTTTGCTGACCCTCTACCGGGCCTGTAGCTTGACCTACAACCTCTATCCCATGGGCATGCTTCCTAAAAGCAATGGCCCCCCAGGTTAGCACCTGAAAGCGCGTATCCTGGGATGCACCAGGGCTACCGTCAGTGGCGTAAAGGATAGACGGGTCTTCAACTTGCAGCTGGGTGAAGACGCCTTCCACCCTGACCTGTTGCTCATATGTGGCTGGTCTGGGTTGCGGTGGTCCCAGGCCTCGCAACCAGAGGCTGGGGTCAGGGTATTGTTCCCGGAGCCGCGGGAAATCTTCGGGTTCTGTGGCCTGGTTTTCCCACCAGGTACACTCCCACAAGACGTGGCTCAAGGTAGCCTCCTTGTTGCATCGGGCACACACTGCCCCTTTGCCGTGCCGTATGGCTCCTTGCCACGCAGCCACAAGGGCATTGCGATGGAGCTTGCTGGGGCTCTTTTTGAGCACTTTGCGCGGGGCGTGCCACTCGATGCCATCTTTAAGGCTTTCACTTTTCTCCCCTTGAGACAAGGCCTGCCAACGCCAGTGGTCACAAGTGCGCTTCAGCTTCGCACTGAGTCGGTGTACGCTAGCCCTATCTAGGATATGAAAGGTTTCTTGGCCAGCCTTCCATTCCGTGAGGGAGTGGGCCTCCCATCCAAGGGCTTTAAGGTAGCACGCCGCAGCCCCAAAAGGGCCAGCCACCACGCGCCACGGCTCCTTGTGGTGCTTGATTTTCCGAATCCAGTACTGGAAGGCTTGTTCCAGTTCTTGGAACGGCGTTTGGTTCCACTCCACCAGCAGCTTGTGCAGGAAGCGAAAGTGCTGGTTAATGATCGTGTAGGTGGGGTCTTCGTGCTTGTTGGTGGCTTGTTCAATCACCGCCTCTGTGGATCCCAGGCTCATCCTACCTAGCACGCTGGCGTGCTGATGGCGGACCCATTTGAGGCGCTTTGGTGCAAGGCCAAGAGCGACGTGCCCATACAGGGCAACCCCAAAAACTCCCTGCTTGTTTGCAGTCGTGTGCGCCTTCTGTGGCGGCGCAAGCTGCCCCAGGCGGCGCTGCCTCTTAATGCCTTTTGTGAACCTGGCCTTGTGTGTGGTGACGCGTCTGCGCCTACCTCCCGCACTGTCAATGCCTAGGTCCTTGGCTAAGGGCTTGCCCTGCGGGTCATCTGCCTTCAGGAGCTTTTTTAGAGCCTTTTCTGCCCTTGGGTTAGAGCACACCCAGGCACTTTTTGCTGCACTGAGCGGGAGTTTCGCTCTGTCCAATTGCTTCTTTACCCTGGTCCACACCAGGTATGCTTGTTTGGCACATACCTTGGCGTCCTGATTGGCTATGTCAAAGCCAGTGTCGTCGATGTACAAGTCGACATGGCATTTCGGTGGCCCTTTCCAAATGGGTTCCACCACTTCATGCATTATCAACTTTGACAACCCAGGCGCCAATGGACATCCCGCAATGATTCCTTTCGTGGCCACAATTGGCGCACTGATCATATTTTCGGCGCACAGGTGCCTTTTACTACGATACACCTGCATTGCACCATGCAGGAGAAGCAATGGGTATTTGTGTTTGAAAGCAGCCTTGACCAGTGCTACGTGTGACACATTTTCGTAAAAGCCACGAAGGTCAAGAAGGAGCGTAATGCCAGTTTTCCCACTCTGGCGGTACATTTCCCCTTTGAGGACCCGCGTGACTGCGACCTCAAGGGAAGAGAGGCCTTTGACCGCTCTGTCCCATGGTGCTGTGGCCTTGTACTGCTTCGACCATTCATCATAAAGATGATACCTGGTTTTACACCAGGCACGGTAAGCATACGACGTGAGCCCTATCGGGCGTTCTTCCGTCTCTTTCTTGGCCAGCAGGGCGACGAGTGTCATAGTCACTGTTTCAGGCATGCAGCCACTCTGTTCCCAGTCTCTGAATGCCCTTGTCACCAGGGCCACCTGGTCAGGGGTTAGGGCTCTGAACATCTGGGCCGAAATGCCGTCTGGCCCGACAGCCTTCTTGGCTATCCTGCTCAGCACTGCAGCTACCTCCTCCTGTTTTAGAGGTCCTATTTGCTCCAGCTGGCGGAGAGCACCAGCCTTGAGCTGGTCAAAGACTGGATCTTGTTGGGGCTGGTTTCCTGGCCTGGGTTCCCACACCAGCTTCCAGTCTTTACGGCGAAGATGCGGCCGCAGTTCCCCACTCTGTTCGCGGTAGGGCCTCGCCTGGACGTTTTCCGGTGATTTCAGTGCCTTGTAAAGGCCACGAAGGCCCCCTTCACAAGCACTTTCCAACCAGGTTTGGTACTGTTGTTTCCGTTGCTGTCTCCAGTCTTGGGCTTCAGCCTTAGCTTTCTGAAGTACCGTTTGGACAACTTGGACGTCAGTGTCATGTCCAATCATGTAGGATTCAAGCATGGCCTGGATTGCACCAGGTTTGTCTGGGCTGTCAGGGTCCCAAAACTGGTGCATTTGGCCCAACTGGCGCTTGAAAACTTTAAACTGCGACGGCTTGAGGGGTCTGTCCTGTTTTTGGCGCACCCAGAGCACCATGCGCTCCCAATACGCCACTTTACCCCCATTCCAGGGTTTCTGGGGTGCAGTGGGAGGGACCAGAGGCTCCCTTTTAACTGGGAAACACCAGCTTCTGCCGTGCTGGTCCATACCAGTCTGAGCTTCAAGCTCGTGGACCAGTGCCCCCCATTTCACCTGCTCAGGCTGGTCATTGGGCGGCTCAAACATCGCAGTGATTTCCAGGACTTCTTTTAAGTCTGGTTGCTCCTGGTTTTCACCAGGTTCAGGTGTGAACCTGGTTGCCTGTGGAACAGGCAAACTTACGCCTCCTTTGTGGATTGTGTAGGTGATCGCAGCGTGCGGCTTGAAAGGCACTT